TTGCAACAATATCTGGGTCGGTGTATAGTGATCTTACCTCTCTATTTTTCCTTATTCTCCACATTTGTCCCTCCTGTACTGGACCAAATATTCTTCTCAGTACTTTATTTTCAAAAACTATGAGTCGGTTTTCATTTTTCTTGGACAATACCCATGTTTCACTACCATATAACAAAATAGGTTGAATTATTGTTTTATATAACTGTATTTTGGTTCTGTGAGATAATACTTTAGATGAGATCAACTTCTTGCAGGCTCCCCAACACTTATTGGCATTTGATAATTTAGTTAGTATGTCTTCGTCTTCTGAGTTTCTACTATTTACAGTTACTCCTAAATATTTGAAACTTTCTGTACAATTTATAGTTAAGTTCTTTATCTGTATGTTTCTGTTTCTATTGTTTGCTTGTCTTCCAAAGTTAATGATTTTAGTTTTTTCTACATTTACTTGCAATCCTATTTTGTTAGCTTCTGTGATAAGTACTTCTGCCAAACTTACCAAGTTTTCAACTGTTTCTGACAAAATGACTACATCATCAGCAAATGCTAAAATGTTTAGGTCTACTCCAAGCTTAACACCCAATCCTAGTTCTTTTGTTTTCTGCAGGGCTTCTTCCAGTGCTAAGTTGAATAGTATGGGAGATATGCCATCTCCTTGTCTTACACCCGTGTTGATGGAAAACTCCTCAGATAGATCTCCTTCCACTCTCACTTTGGCTTTTGAGTCTTTCATACACATTTCTGTTAGTTTAATTAATTTGTCCGGCAAACCATGCTTTTTTAAACTTTTCCACAAGCTGATTCTGTCTATGCTGTCGTATGCTTTTTTGAAATCTATAAATATTGCGCTAACATTCTTGTTGAACTCCCAATATTTTGAAATTGCCTGCTTTAGAATAAAAATCTGCTCTATCGTGGACCTCCCTTTCATAAATCCAGTTTGTTGTTCTTCAATTAGCGTTTCTACATAGGGGTTTAGTCTTGCGACAAGGATTTTTGAAAGTATTTTATATGTATTATTTAATAAAGAAATTCCTCTGTAGTTCTTGCAGTTTTGTTTGTCCCCCTTCTTGTGTATAGGAATGATTGTTGCCGTTTTCCATTCAGTAGGTATCTTTTCTTTTTGCCATATAGTTGTGATTAGGTTGTGGATTTCATTTTCCAATATGCTTCCTCCGCTCTTGATTACTTCTGCTGTGATCCCATCTTCGCCTGGAGCTTTGTTGCATTTCAATTCTTTGATTGCCATTTTCACCTCTTCTAACAATGGTGGGTCTATATGAGGCTGTACATTGTAGAATGTTGTATCTTCATCGGGAGTATTAACGACAGTATTCTCGCAGTTTAGCAGGTCATCAAAATAGTCTTTCCATATTCTTAGTGTTTTCTCCTTTTCTGTGGTAACTTTTCCTTCTTCATCCATTATGCCAAATGTTCTCGCTTTAAATCCTCCTTTGAAGAATCTTATAGTTCTATAAAAGTCTCTAGTATTATTGGCTGTTCTATCTTCTTCTGCTTTTCTGAGTTTTTCATTTAAGTAATCTCTTTTACATCTTCTAAGCGTTTGTTTGGTGATTCTGTTTGCTTCCTGATATTTTTGTCTTAGCTCTTCAAAATTCCTTACCCTTAGTTCGTCTTCTTCCCCATTTCTGGTTTGAAGCCACAATTTTTTTAGTTTCTTCCTCTCGGTTATCATTTTCTGACACTCTTCTGTAAACCATGGATTTCTCACTTTCTTTACTCTTTTTCCACACACTTCTTTCACTACTTCTTTCACACTATCTTGAATCTTCTTCCATTTTGATTCTATTATTTCTTGTTCTTGTACCTGTTCTGCGACATCTTCTTGTACTTTTCTTCTCTCTTCTTCTCTATCTAGAGCTTCAAATCTATTTTCTAGTTTAATTTTGAACTCTTCTTTAATTTCCTTCAGTTTTAGTTTTTCTGTTGCTAATATTTCTTTTCTTACAACTCCCCTTCTTTTAGTGTCTATTCTTTGCCTTACTTTTACAAGCACCATGTAATGGTACTCAGTATAGTACATCAGGTATGTGGCAAATTATTTATCCAATCTAAACACAGTCCTACAATAGATGATTAAGAGGGCTCCTAATACTAATAACACAAACAAACTAATGTGTACTTCAACTTCATCAAGTCTTATTTTAATTTTTAACCAAGCCATCAACACTTTACAAAATATTGTTATGTTTTAAGGATGATTTTCAGTGTTTTTTACATCAGGACAAACTCAGATTCAAGATCCCGAAACGTAATAATAAATTTTACTTATTGTGATGGAAAAAGCTCACAATAATTCTTTAAATAACATACTTATACTGGCTGAACTTACTTTGCTAAGCTACTTCAGTATTTAGACCATCTGTACGAATGCCAATCATGCCAAACCTATACTGTACTTTGTTGTGACAATAGACCTTGTTACTAATTTTAAGTAGGCTAATGGTAATTGAAAAAAGTCTCATGAAAACTAAACATTCCACCATTAATTTTTTTTAGGAAAACTCATGTTTGTTGTTTATATATGTCAGGAAAATTAAATAAAGAAATATGGGTTACAATTGTACAAGATATTTAATGTAAGATATTACAATTACAATACAGAACCATTAAAAATGTTCAGAAAGTTTTATGATTTTCAATTAAAGCATCTCAGAATATATATTTAAATACTAACAATAAATTATATAATTTAAAACAACCAAATAATAGATTAAATGTAATAAAATATTTCACAAATACACAACTAACAACTAAGGAAACATAATTCACCCACATCAAATAGCATTTGATACTTCAGCAATATTTTCTAATTGGTAAAAATCTATTTCTGGACATTAAATTTATTGTGGTAGATATACCAGGATCATTAAAATACATAAGGTCTTAAGAAAAAACTACTTACAGATTTTCACCGTAAACAAAATCACTGGAATTACACTATACAAATGACTAAGACAATTTCAATTTCCCCTTATACTATTAAATAGTAGACTTAAGAATGATTCCTAGATCTAAATTTTAAGAACCATGCAAGTTGTATTTTATACTCTTAGAACCCTTTTACAAGCAAATTTTATTATCAGTAAGGAGAGAACAAGCTTTTATAGCTATACTTATTTCCGAAGCTCGTGGACTAGCTAGCTAGTTTGTAACTGGAACATTTACAAGTTTTAAAACAACTGGAATTCAATAATTATTAATTTTATAACATATTCTTACGAGTATCTAAATTAATAAGTTATGGGGTTTGATGCGATGCATCTGGAGTTCAACTTGGAGTACTAGTAGGGCTACGCTTCTATAATAAATTGCAAGATATTATTTAAATCTAGAATGTATTTTAATTTAATATATCGATTCATAATAAGTTTGGAATACAAAAACAAATAAGTATAATTTAAATATCTTTTTGTTTACCCCGGTTTCAAGAACTAGAATATAGACTATAGTGTATGTGATAAGAAGATGAATTCAAGAAGACCCCTGAAGATGCCACACAAGTTGGAGAAACGCATAGGGCGACACAAACATCTTACATAGAAGAACTCAGGCAACAATAACAAGTATAATTTAGTCTTAGGGCATAAAAAATATAAATGGTGAAGTATAATGATTGTTTCATAAGTAGTGTCAACTATACATAACAAAGTAAATTGGTAATATGAATGATCAATACAAACATTTCTTTATCATACGGATTATTGATCAAATAACATTGTTTTACAATTTCTTCTACCACATATGGATATACATAACTTACAAAAAGATTTCATTAGATGAAATAAATACAACTTGCATTTACTAATGATTTAATCAGTTTATACGATCACAACTAATATTTAGCTATCCCTAAGGGTAATGCTCACTAAACTAACAAACTAGCCTATAAGACACTGGAACGAGCACTGCATTTTATAAAGTTAGTTTGACAGCTACAATCTTTGGATTTTCAAACTTATGCCTCTTTCCCACAGCAGTACTTTTCGTGGTTTAAAACTATTTGAACTAAGCAAAATTTAAGAATGAGAAGTGCTTAAACAGTCTTAAAAGTTACATGTACTAGAATATAAAAAATATCTAGCCAATTGGGGAATTTGAAATGTACAGTTTTTAAAGATTTTCTCTGTAACCATTAGGCATACAATAACGCTTATACAGAAGTCTCCCTCTTATCCAGATTCCTAAAAACTCCTTGAGACTTAGGCCAGCCTGGATAACGAGGTTTCTGGTTTAACCAACGTCCCCTAAAACTTGTCCTCTAAAATTGGAATCTCTCATAAACTACACCAAATATTTTACTTAAATTTGGGAGAGCATTGTATTTAGACACGTGATCACTGGTCTCAAATCTTTCCCACGAGAAAGTCGTTTCAGTACTGCCCACTTCCTGCAAACCAGTCCAGTTAAAGAGATGTCACTTCTGCCACAGAAAACATAACTATAACCCAGAATGCCAACCGCGTGGTAAAAAGCATTAAGTGTTTTGAGAGAGCTTTGCCTGTCAATCGTAGGCAGCGCCACCAGCGTTGCCATGCACTCAGCATAGCAACGCTGGTGGCGCTGCCTACGATTGACAGGCAAAGCTCTCTCAAAACACTTAATGTTTTTTACCATGCGGTTGGCATTCTGGGTTATAGTAGTATGTTTTCTGTGCTTCTGCTGAGTGTAGTCCAGTTAAACTGATGTTTGGTTAAAAGGTGTCGGCGTAAGAGGGAGATTCCTGTTTGTATTAATTTTTGTCGAAGCTCTACAAACAGGTATTCAACAAAATTACAAAACATGATGTTTTGAGGGCGAAAAAAAGGAAAACCTAATTTTATCCCATATACCCCAAGTTCATTCCAACAAACATAGGTTTACACATTTGTACAAAATGTTATAAAACTTGGGGTAATTTCTATAAGTTATCTTGCTTGTGTTGTGTCTCACAGACACAAACACACATGTATGAATTTGAACGAATAGTGTTTTTGGCCTCTGGGGTAATGAAACTAAAAAATTATCATTCCACCAACAGTGATAGTTTCCTCCCTATTGGGGAAGTTTGATAAAAAAATTAACAACATATTTTACCAATAAACAAGAAAAAAAAATGTGTTGCAAGGCGTGTTTTTGTATAGAAAACTTGGCAAAGCAAAGACATTTACAAATGGTAGATGTGAATTAAATTATTGAGAGGTTAACTCTGAGAGCTCGGTCCAGTGTTCACTATAGATCGTTGTACTAGACACATTCATTGGAGTGATTTTCAAAACTACAGAACATGAATTAGAGATGCAATTGATTTAACAACAATAACTATACAAAGAGTACAAAAATATAAACATATTTATAACATTGTTAAGTAACAAAATAAAACGCCCAATCTGGGAAACTGGAAAGTGAGATGCGTACAGTGAAAGTCTAAGGTTAGAGGACGAATTTCTTCTTGGAATGGGAGGAGGAGCAGTTGGCGTGGTCAGAGTTACCCTTTGAGTTTTTAAAGTTGCTGATCCCTTCACTGGTGGACTGTTGGTGTTGAAGTATATAAAGACATTGGCTGAGACTGAGCAGCATGGCATGGGAGGCTGCCTTCAGCAACAACAGGTCTTGGTCCACATGACGTACATCACCTGAAATTATAACATTCATAGCATTCACTGAGACTGAGCAGCAGTGTTTTGGAGGCTGCCTTCAGCAACAACAGGTCTTAATATAACAGATTTTTCCGGTTTTTATTATTACTTTATCATTTATAGTCTTTATAGTTTCAAACAAGATAACATTAGTTGCATGTGCCCAGGAAACAGTGGCGGATTTACCATAAGGCACACTAGGCACGTGCCTAGGGGCGCCAGCCGTTGAGCCAGGGCGCCCGCCGTTGAAGGGCGACTGGCGGTGGCAGGCAGCGGGTAACGTGACGGGCGGTGTGACTACGGGCGGCGGGCGCCAGGTGATTATCGATCGGTGAAGATGTGTCACGTTCATGTCCCGACGTGCAGATGCAGACATAATATAGACTCAGGACTGCGAGTAGCAGTAGCGAGCACAATACAAGTCAAGCGGGTGAAGCCCATGGGTAACTGCTATTTATTTTAACTCTGCAAAGCAGATTGGGTCCTCTAGTTAATTTAAATGCATAAAGTATAATAGTAGGCCCATAACAAATAACTGAATGGATTCGTGGAATCTAATCAGTTAAAATCGTGAAAAGGTCAGTTAAAATTATTTTTGTTTTGGCAGAACAATATATAATCTAAATAATTTAATCGAATTAATGTAATATAGTTTAATCTAAAATGTAAAATTTATTAATAAAAGGCCCTACCGGTATTTATTCAATTTAAAAGAAAAAACTAATTTTGTGTGTAACCGCTTTTGATTTTTTTACTTTTTTAGTAATTTAAATTTCGTAAATATGCATGAAGAAAATAACAATAATGAGTGTAAAACGAAAAAAGTTAAGTGGAGCAGCATTCCGCAAACAGTCAAAGGAAAAGCGTGAGAGAGACTTCCCTTTTAAAATCTGTGGAAAAAGTGGACAGTTATTTTTGTAAAAAAGAACAAGTAAATGAAAATAGTCAACAAGAAAATTAAAGCAAACATGACGAGTTCTCTGTTAACCCAAGTACGAGTGCGATAACTAATACGACAGACAATGATAGTGTTAAAGTTCAAACTGTCAATACAGTTGAAATCTCTGATACCGACAAATACAAAGATTCGTATTGATTGTTAAAAGATTGTTTGATCGTATTGGTTGTTGTTGTTGTGTAAGATTGTTGAATGGTTCGAATGTTGCTATTGAAATTAAAAGTAATGATAATTGTGAAACAGACGTGCAAGTGGTAGATTTAAAAGCTTCAGATTACAATTTGTGTCTTCTGTTGTGCCGTAAACGTCATACTAGCGAAGCGACTGGCGTATGGGTCATAATATTGGCCTACCACCGTGCACCTGTTTTGCGCATGTCAAGGTCAAAATTTCCTCCCTTGCTACAGGAGAAACAAAACTTAGCTATTTTAGTTTCAATATTACGTATAAAACGTTTAGTTGCCTTGAATATTACCCAAGCAATTATCATTTAAAATCCCGGCATTCTTTTAAAAAGACCCTGTATATAATATATATAACTAACTAGAATATATATATCTACTAGAAATATAATTTTTAGGGTTCTCTGTTGTACTTTTACTACTGTAATTTAATATAATCAGCAGCCCTATTACGTGAACACCTAAATTCAAATATATATATGTATTAATAATTTCATAGAAATTATAAGAAAAACCAAAACAAAACCAATTTAAGCCGAATACATTTTAATTGAATTTAGTCAAGAACGGCAATGCGTTCGGCGATTAATTTAGGCTATTCATATTCATATTTATTCTTGTCTCAACAACAAAATATATGTTTTTCTTAAAACCTGTTAATACAACTTTAATATAAAGTAGGCCCTACTGATATAGTGACTATGTTTTTCCTGGAAAATGTATTAATAAGCATGCCAACAACGGGAAGTTTAATATTGCTTTTACGCTGAAACCTTTCCTCAATCGCGGAACACAAAGGGGCGGCCGGCCGAACGGGCCTAGGGGCGGCGCCGTAGGTAAATCCACCACTGCCAGGAAAAAAAGAAAAGAAAAATCAAATCAAATCAAAAATGCCTTTATTTAGCAAGCGTTCCTCAGTACATACTGCTTTACAGGATAACTTTTGTCAATTTACTGATACTAAATAAAACTAATAACAGAAAGTATAATCTAATCAGGAAGTATACATACAAGCACAAAATTCTATTTTAATCTATTTACAAAATTTGAGGTTTTTCATTCACAGTTATATACATTTCTTTTATTTTATTTCTGAAAGCTGGAACACCCAGCAACTTATGATCACAGGGGAGGAAAGAAAAATAAAGTCTAATGAAGTACTAAAAGTGGTCACTTGTTCTCCCGACAAAGAGAAATGCATGATGGGAGCATGCAAAGAATGTAAAGCCAAAGAGGTTATTTTTTAATATTGAGGAGGACTTCAAAATTTAGTATTACAAGCGGGAAAATGTCCAAGAAGAGAAAGTGATGAGAAAGATAAATGTAAAGAAAACAATTAAAAGAACATTGAAAGTAAAAGAAGTTATAAAGATTTCTTAAATTAAAGTTGAATAAAAAAGAGAATTAGAAGATTGCAAAATATATGTTTACTACGCCGAACACCAAACCACGGAAATTGAAAAAAATAAGTAGCTTGATTCCAGATGAGGTAGTTTATAGAATCAATTTTACGCAAAATTATGTGGCAAAACTTTCTCAGGAAGTACAGTCGTACCATTTTGGTACCTCAAAGCGACATCTGTCCCTACAAACAGGAGTTAGGTATAACAACCTTGATGGGGAAATCAAGGTTGGCTAGCTTCGCAAGATCACCAATCGCACGCTAGTTTGGCTCATATGATCCCGATCATTGAAAGATCATCCCTTCAATAAGCTAACACTAAGGCAGTACATTTTGTGCCGGACGGCCCCAGTAGTCAATACAGGAATATGATGAACCTTCACTTATTTAAAACAATAGTTCCCAAACACTTTAAAAAGGTTGAGTATTTGACATGGAAACTATACTGAGGCCGGCCATAGCAAATGTGCCAGGGACGAGGTAGGGGGACACTTAAAAGACTGGCTGATCGCAAAGTGGCATTTGGAAATGATATAGCTTCAGCTAAGGACTTTGTTGATGCACTTAAAGACTGTAAAATATACTTGTATTAGGTGTCCTCTACCGTTTTATAAAAAGAAAACCGAGGTGTCTCTTTTAACTGTTTAGCGCATAATGAAAGTTAACGCAACAACAGCAACATAATGATAGTTAAAGTTAATGGAAGTTAGTAATGAGGTTGTACACTCAGATGGCACTATGACTGCTAATAAGCTTCCATATTTTCAATGTCCTCCGAAGCGTTGTGAACATTATATACTAAAGGACGTAGTTTTTTAAGAAACAAAAAGAGATGAAGCTCCTCCACGTAAGAAGAGAAAACCAAAAAGTCAGATGGTTGAGAAAAAGCAGAAAAGGGTTCTGAATGTTGAATATGTATTTACTTTGTCGGAGGAAGACGTCCCAAACACATTCTTTGAGGAGATCCTGGGATCATCTGAGAAACAGCCAATTCATAATTGTCTGGTGAAAAAGGCAAGATGTTTTTCTAGAAACATTGCAATCCGCAAAGTATGTTGTAGTTGAGTTTGAAAATGAAAAGAAAAAATGTCAGCAGTTCAATGGCATATATCAGAGCGAAGTTGTAAACAATGAAATAGAGGTTATATTTATGAAACCCCTTGCTAAAAATGCAAAGTTGTATGCTGCTTATGAAAGTGATGTTTCTTCAGTACATGTGGACCAGATAAAATTAGTGTTGGATACACCAGAAGTTATTTGAAAGGAAATAGATGGTGAGGTCTCACATTAGTTTTGCTTTATAATTGAACAAAAAACAACAAACTCATTTTCTTATGCTTATCGTGTATCCTATAACTTATAGAATAATGGTGATTTGAACATTGATGAGCATTAATTCATTTTGTCAACATTAATATTCTGTCCTTTACAAGGTCATTTAATTAATAACACATTTTTTCACTTTGACTATGTGTTTTTGACGTTATGTTTTTGTAAAGAAATAAGTAAATGTCTTACTTTATGTAAAAGTTACTTTCAGTTTTCATGGAGGTTTCCGTTTGGTGTTTATTTATATATATTGGCCTAATGATGTATGGCGGAATAATACTGTACTTGAGATTTAGATTCAAGGATAGGTTTTTTCTGAGTGTCAAAGATTACCATAATTTTTTCCTCATATTTCATAATAAAAGCAAAATAATTATTCATCATTATGTATTCCCTGTTTTACATAACCTAGCAATGCACATTTTGGATTTTGTTTATAAATAAGACCTATGATGAAAAATAACGTTACAACAGTTTTTTTAAATCGGCCATGCCGTTGTCTAGTCACGTAAGGGACCAAGTTGGTCACGCATATGAAAAGTGTAATAACTATAATTATTTTGTATTCAAATATATTATACGCTATGTGTTATCAACTACTGCACTCATTTGCCATTGTCAAAATCAGGTTAGAATTTATTCACTTTCCTTTTTTTTATTGCCAGTTTTATAGTTTTAGAAGTTAGTTAGTCTTTAAAACAAAGGGAAAATGTCAATATTTTTTTAATATTAGCAAATGGGTAGCAAAATGAGAATGAATTTCATATTTTTAAGTAGTTAAAATAACTGTTCAACATATCCTACACATTTTAGGTGTATTTTTACAAAATAATATTTTTTTACAATTGGAATAGTAGACTTGAACTAGAACTTGACTAGAACTAGACTTGAACTCTCGAGATGTACTTTATAGACTTTTCTTTTATTTTTAATAGTTAACATTGAAAATTAAGCTTGGTGCTTTTTATTTAATTTCCTAAATACATATAAATAAAGGAAGTAAAAATAAAAGTCTTTTAGATTAATTTTTTTTCAGCTGTGAAATTGTAGCATTTTGTGAGAATGATCCTTATTGACTGTTGTAAATTGAAGTTACGTATGTATTTAAAATGATTTCTTGGTTAATATTGGGTGCATAAAACTGAATAGTTTGCTCAATTTTGGGGATAATCATGTGATTCAGAGTATCCTGCGCCATTGTCCTGGTCGTAAAGAGAAAGGATTTATTCTTCATACATGTTTAATCAAAACATTTAAAAAATACTAATCTAATATCAAACTTGTAACATAAAAAATCTCTTACCACAGTTGGGAAGGTCATCAATGGCACGTGCTAACAAGAAGTTGCTCTGTTCCGCCCGGAATAGATGGTCTTTGACTGCCGAGAATGCGTCCCAGACGGAACTGCCGCCGTTGCCAGGAGTCACATGCTCTCGAGGCTGGATCGGCGGATTATTCTGTAGTCAATAAATAACACATTATTGGTCAAACTGTGTAACTTGTCAAACTACAAAGGACACTTGCAGTCAAATTAGTAAAGCTTCAGATTAAAAACATTAACAAATCGGCTTCCTCAAAATAATAAATGCAATCATGTTGAGTCTACAATATTTTGAAAACTTAAATTGTAAATACCATTGACAATAGACAATAGACAATAGACAAATAATCTTTATTTACACATTCATTAAGAAATAGTAGTAGCGTCAATTTACAATTTTTTCTAAATGTTTGGTTGAGGTGTTGTTTAGTCAAAGACCTGTTGATGGTATTCTTCTAAGGAATAGAAAGGTCGATTAATGAGCCATTGATGCAAAGCTGGTTTGAGGTCATCTTCTGACTTGCTTCTTAGATCTGGAGGTAGCCTGTTGTAGATTTTCATTCCTGCGTATGAAGGTTTCTTTTCAAACTGTGCCGTGCGATGTTGTGGAAGGTTGTACTGCATGGTGTTTCTCAGGTTGTGTTGGTGCATTTCACCACGCCTTGTAGGGTTATTTCTTACTGCAAATAACACAACTTCCTGGATGTAGAGTGCTACAAGGGTAAGTACTTTGAGTGACCTGAATGCTTCCCTGCAGCTGTCGAGTCTGTGGAGTCCTGCAGTTATTCTGACTGCCTTTTTTTGTTTTCTGAGAACTCTTTGCATGTTAGTGGCAGAGGTTCCACCCCATGCTACAAGTCCATATCTCATATGCGACTCGAAAAGTGCAAAGTATGCTACTTTTGTTGTCATGTCATCTGTTGCATTTTTTATATGTTTAAGAGCATAGATGGTTGAACTTAATTTTTTACATATATTGTCCACATGAGGGGTCCAGGTTAAATTCTTGTCGAGTGTGATGCCCAAAAACTTAGCTTCATCTTCCACTTCTACATCTGGGAGTCGTGGCACTTCTTGAGATTTACGGCCAAAAGCTATTTGAGTTGTTTTAGACGTGTTTACTGCGAGATCATTGTTATAGCAGTATTGGTAGGCCATACTGAGTGACACATAGGATTTTACTTCTAGATTTTCAGCTAGTGGTTCATTAAACACTAAGGTTGTGTCATCAGCATACATAAGAGTAAGGCAGGCGTCTCCTATTTGTTGCGGCAAATCGTTGGTAAAAAGAATAAACAGTACCGGACCCATAACTGAACCTTGGGGAACTCCTCGATTTATTGGTTGAAAATTTGATCTTGTTTTTCTTATTAGGCTGTTATCTCTGTGCCTTAGTTCTACAAACTGACTCCTGTCTGTAAGGTAGCTTTGAAACCATTCTCTTACTATCCCTGATACCCCCAGGGAATCCAGCTTTTTAATGATTAGCTGGTGGTCAAGGCAGTCAAATGCCTTACTGAAATCAAGAAAGATTCCTGTTGTTAGATTTCCTTCATCTAGGCTGTCAATCAGGGACTCAACCATCTGAATTATTGCTGTTGTTGTGGATTTCCCTTTTGTAAATCCATGTTGAAGGTTGTTTAGTAGGTTGTGATTTGTGCAGTGGTCTAAAAGTCTTTTTAAAACAACTTTTTCGTATATTTTGGAGAAGGTGGAAACGAGGGAAATTGGTCTGTAGTTGCTTGCTTCTAATGTGCTACCTTTTTTAAATTTCGGGTATACTTTAGTTATTTTAAGTAGTGAAGGAAAGATGCCTTGTTTTAGGGACTTATTTATCAAATCAGCCAATGGTAGTGCTAGTTCATTGCAGCAATGCTTAAGTATTTTTGACGAGATTTCATCAATTCCAGACGAGTTTTTTGCTTTAAGTTTGTTTATAATCATTTTAACTTCCTTCTCGTCTGTGCTTTGAAAGGAGGAAAACAGTGGACCTGTTTGAGTTACGTCAGGAGTTTGAGCTGTGGTCTTTAGGTGTTTTTGTTTCTCTACTGTTTTTTCTCCTACTTGTGTAAAAAATGTATTCAAATGCTCTGCAACATGGGTCACATTACTTATGAGTTGGCCATCTACTTGAAGGGTTATTTCATTTAGGGATGTTTCCTTTTTGGACCACACTGTGTTTATTGTTTCCCAGATAGCTTTAGATTTATTTTCAGCTTTCATCAACTGGTCAGAGTTAACCTTTTTCCGCATCATTTTCAAGTACAGGTCATAGTTCTTTTTATTTTCAATAGAAACCCTTCTGTCATCTGGATTTCCCGTCACCTCAAACTTTCTTAGAGCTTTAAGAAATTCGGCTTTAAGTCTCACTGCTTCTGGGTCCATGGAGAATTTTAGTTTATGTTTTCTTTGTATTTTTATCTTCTTTTGGGGGCAGGCTGCATCCATAGCTACTCTCACTATGTTACTAAAAGTTTTAAAAGCTTCTTCGGCATTGTTTATTGAGGTAACACTAAGCCAGTTTTCTTGACTGAGAAGATACTTGAGGTCTTGCAGGTTTTTATTTTTTAGACAGCGTCCAATTTGGGCAGGATAACTTGAGTTGATGTGTGAGTTGAAGTTTACAGTACAGAGTTGAGCAGTATGATCCGAAAGTCCTGCATTGATGATTTCTGGAGTGAGTTGGTTTGTGTCCATATTTGTACATATCCAGTCAATGGAGGTTTGTGTTAGATTTGTTATTCTCGTAGGTGGAAGCTGTAGTCTCTGGATGTTGTGCATAGCAAGAGTTTCATTTAAGATAATGTGTTTCCTGTTTGGGTTACACAAATCAACGTTAATATCTCCCATGATGATAAAAGGGGAATTTTCAATTTTTGTTTCCTCAATTAGTTCTGTAAAGGTGTTTAATGATTCCTCAAGGTCTCCGTTTGGGGGTCTGTAGGTTCCCAGTACAAACAGATTTGAGTTCTTGAATTTTATTTTTATAAGAGCTGCTTCAAATAACAGTTCTTTACAGTACTTGGAAACATCTATGGCTACTGTGCTGCTATCAAGGCTTTCTTTTACAAGAATGCAAACACCTCCTTTTCTGTGTTCTATTCTACTATAGTGAGCCTTGAGGCAGAATCCAGTAGCTATGACGGTGCTACTTATTGTCTCAGGTTTCAGTCCATGTTCTGTCAGAATTACTATGTCAGGTTTGGTTTCTTCTAAAAGGTGCTGTAGTCTATTTATTTTATTTGAGACTTCCTGTGTATTTTGGTGCAGCAGGATGAGTTTGGAGTTTACATCCTGACTCGATTGTCTAAAAAACAGTCAGGTTGCGTTTCTCTTGTCTCTGCTGATTTTTGCAGTTTTCTTAAAGTAAAATCAGGCTGCGTTGGAATAATCTGAGAAGGTGAGGAAAAAACAAAGTTATTATCCTGTAGCGATGCAGCCTCCCTTTTTACTAAATATCCATAATGCTTCTTCATATGTTCTGAATAAAATCCTATATTTTTTACAAAGAAATCATTGTAATCCTCGTCTTTGCTCTTTGGCTTAGCATTTAGGGGTGGAAGTTTATTTTTATTTTTAGTCTCTTTCAGGCTTTCTTGAGCTTTTACTGTTTGTGACACTTGTGACAGTTTTTGTGGCGGGGTTTGGCTGGTTCCCCCTGTTGATACTTGTTCCGTTGAGGTCTCAGATGACAGTTTTTTCGTAGGAGTTTGTCTGACTCTCCCTGTTGCAGTTTCTGTTGGCAGTTTTTTAGTAGGAGTTTGTCTGACTCTCCCTGTTGTAGTCTCGGTTGGCAGTTTTTTAGTAGGAGTTTGTCTGACTCTCCCTGTTGTAGTCTCGGTTGGCAGTTTTTTAGTAGGAGTTTGTCTGACTCTCCCTGTTGTAGTCTCGGTTGGCAGTTTTTTAGTAGGAGTTTGTCTGACTCTCCCTGTTGTAGTCTCGGTTGGCAGTTTTTTAGTAGGAGTTTGTCTGACTCTCCCTGTTGTAGTCTCGGTTGGCAGTTTTTTAGTAGGAGTTTGTCTGACTCTCCCTGTTGTAGTCTCGGTTGGCAGTTTTTTAGTAGGAGTTTGTCTGACTCTCCCTGTTGTAGTCTCGGTTGGCAGTTTTTTAGTAGGAGTTTGTCTGACTCTCCCTGTTGTAGTCTCGGTTGGCAGTTTTTTAGTAGGAGTTTGTCTGACTCTCCCGGTTGTTGTTTCAGTTTGCAGTTTTTTCGTTGGAGTTTGTCTGGCTCTCCACGTTGTGTTTTTGAAGGTTTTGCTGGTTATTTCTCGGCAGTCAGTAGCAAGTTTGTGATTTGTTTGTTCTAGGTATTTAGCATTTTGCAGGGATACGCTGAATATGTTAGTTCTGTTATGATTTCTTTGAGCCCTTTTATTTTTTAATGAACTTGGTGTTGGAATGGAAGGATTTGTATGAGTTGTCGGAGAAATGGTGTTAGAAATCTCTTTGTTCATCTGCATTTTCAGGGTGTTAATGACGTGTTCCATTTGATTTTGTTTCATTTTAATTTGAGCAAGTTCAGCTAAGAGGAAAGGACTGTGACCAGCAGCTATACATTGATGGGTCTGGGCTACAGCAGGCTTTGTACTAACCAGATTTTCCTCTTTTTCATCCAGCTTAACTTCATTGTGTTTTTGTGTCAGATCTTTTATGTTCTGTTTAAGTTGTTGAGTTTCTTGTTCATATTTTTTTAATGTGTCTTCTTTTTCCTTGTCCAATTCTTCAAAGGTGTGTTCTAAGTCTCTGCGAAGCATCTTCTCATTGTCGAGCTGTTTTTCAAGATTATTGATGGTTTCCACTAACGAGTTGTTTTTCATTAACAATCTTTCATTTTGGTCTAATAGTGTGTCTATTTTTTCTTCCCAAGCTGCTGCTTCATTTCCATTTTTTATTTTTGTTACTTGAAAAGACAGTTTGGCATTTTCGAGACTCAGCTTGTGTACATCCTCTCTAAGTTTATTGTTTTCTTCAAGGAGAGCATTTCCAACCTCCGCTGCTAGGTTAAGAGAACTTTCCAAATCATTCTCTTCTGTATCAAAATTCTGTACAATGTTTTGAAAATCGTCCATGGTAAGATTTAAATTGTTTAACATAGGTTCGGGCTTGTTAATTGAGGTATGACTTTGAGTGATGCAG